AACGAAGATATGAGTTAATTAGTGGATATGTCATTAATAATAATCAATTAATAACACACAACCTTGAGCAGCTAGAAGTCTGCACGGTTCGAGATGTTTTTGAGAAAGCGTGTAAAGCCACGAAGTAAGAATATTATCGGAAGTTATCGGTTGAGATGAATTCGTCATCGAAACCCTGGTGGCGCTGAGTTAAAAACACATTAAACAAAATGAACAGTATTTCCATTCCGCCTATTTTTGACAGCTCCTCAAAAGAACTAGTGATAGATCGGGAAAAAGAGCTTTTAAACAAACATTTCGCGATGGTTTGGGCGATGCTACTTCACAACCGACAATGGTCGGTTTCCACCGCAAATTCTCGTCGCGATAGATATGGTCTAAATTCTTCAATACAGCGCACCATGGCTGGACATTCTTCGGTGGTACAAGACCTTTTGTGTGCTGAATTTAATTTACGTGACAAATAGCGTGGTTTTAGACCATCTTAGGTGATTTGTTTTAAAATGCCACCATAATGGATGTTGGATGCATCTGTTGATAAAACCAGTGGCGATGCTGGGTCTGGAAAGGACAATAATAACGGTTCTGTTGATAAAATTTCTTTCAATTGTTCATAGGCTTGTTGTTGTTCTGGATTCCAGAAGAATTTTTGTTTTCTGTTTCTTGTTAACCTGTGTAATGGTGCTGTTATTATGGAGAACTTTGGAATGAATTTTCTATAAAAAATAGCTGCTCCCAAAAATGCATCAACAGCCTTAATTGATTTTGGTGTGAGTAAATCAACAAGAACTTCAACTTTATCCATCAAATGTGTAATATCTTGGCTGTTGACTGTGTGGCCTAAATAATCCATTTGTAAGTGAATTATTGAAGATTCTGATGGATTTAATTGGAAGTTGGCATTGTTTAACACTGTTAATATTTCATCCAACTATTGTACATGTTGTTGAAATGATTTGGAAAATATACTAATATCATCGAGGTATACCAAACAATGATCCCACCTTTGATATACTAAGAATTCATTCATAATTCGTTGAAAAGTGGGGGACACATTTTTCAGACCTTGTAGTAACGCTTTCCAATGATCATCTTGAACAATGAATGCTGTTTTTTCCTTATCATCTTGGGTAGGCATTTGGAAATAACCAAATTTAAGATCTAATTTGGAGAAATATCGGTGACCACCTAAGCGATTAATTGTTTCTCCTATATGTGGTAATGGATAAAAATCTTTTTTGGTGATGTTATAAGTTTCCTGTAAGCGACACAAACCTGGTTGATCCGTCTTTCTTCTTGATCAGGACAACTGGAGACGCCCATGGTGAGATTGAA